CTGCTGACCTGTATGACCGACAGACAAGATTATCACTCAACACAAATGACCAGCAACAGATGGATATCAGATCGTTTTATGATTAGCTGTTGAACCATTTTACCAATTTCACACTTCAGTGTAGGCTGAAGGAGTTTGAAGATTGACAGACGGAGCGCAGACATCTGCCGCTCTGCCTCACACAGGACATCAGCAGGAACTCTGGTTACCTCATCTACTGAGAGAAAAACAGGTTCAACTTTCCAGCATGTGAATGCAAACCTCTTTATTAAAGTATATTTTTGAGGTTGAGGGTAAAATAAAATGACGTTAAATAAAACTATCAATTTACGTTTAAATTATAGTGTATTAATACTTATGAATACATACATAATTGTTAATAATTTAAATTTGAGTTATGCAATATAAATTTAAATAACTTTTTATACTATTATAAAGAAAAATAAATATTTTATCAACTTAATAGAATATAACTATAAAGTTAAAGTTTGTTAATATATACAAATACATAATTTAAGTTAGAAATAACTTACAAATAAACATCAAATAGAATAAATATTTTATCTTAATATTTTAATTTATATAATTAGTGTTCACATATGAATACATATTTACAAGTAACTTATAAATGATTTAATCCACTTTTAAATATGTTCACTTAAAACATATATTATGTAAATTTATATTAAACAAATGTTTGTAATTTAAAAATTTTTTTTACATTTAAGTGAAAATTAATGTTTAATCAAATTAATCATTTAAAATGATAGTGTATTAAATATGAATACATTAGACTATTTAATTACTTTTATAATATATTCTAAAGAATAATACATTATCCATTTAAAATTAAATGTTTAATTTTGTTTTTACATTTTAAATTTAATTTTGTAAGTGTTATTATGTCTATGGATATTAATAATATATATAATAATAATAATAATAATAATAATAAACAACTTACAATTAATCTACAAGTGTGTGTGTTTGTACTTTAATAAAAAATACTAACATAATAAAATACTAATAAAATAAACACTAACTAAAAAACAAATATATATATATATATATATAAATA